AACTTCGGAAGACCAAGTAATTTGTATAAGATGAACGAATTCACAACAGCAGCATCCAAGAAAAAGAACATTATTCTGTGCCACCACTTTTTACTTTTACGACCAATGCCATAAACGGCCCGCATCTGATCAAATGTATCAACTGCATTCATGTATTTATTATAATCTACAAGAACAGCAGGGCACGGTATATTTGTGATGCTTCCATCACCTCCTTTTCGTCTCAATTCAGTTACGTGATGAGGACTGTGAAAATTCGAGAGGAGATGAACTGCTCTTTTGTCTCGCCTTATATAAGCACAAACTCCCGTGTTACTGCAAAACCATTCATAATCACCTCTTTTCATGCTCCTCTGGAGCAAAAATTGGTAAATGTTTTCTATTAGTATTGACAGTAGCACACGCATATATATGATTATCTACTGAGTCTTTCTTTCATCAGACTAACCCTCGAAAAAAAATTGTCAAAGTATAGTCTGTGAATTTTACCTTCAATCATTGAGGAGACATTTATCTTCCTGGAGAAAACCGATGCCTGGGTTTTTGTGGCATTGAATTGAACCTGATGACTTCCACCCTAATTCGAAATCACTTCTAGATCCTCAATAAGATATGCAACCTCCAGCTGCCGGTTAAGGTGTGCCTCCGTAGCCAATGTCCTGGAATCCAGATGAAATCACGAGTGTGCTGTCGTCATCAAAGCAGTGTATCGGAGTCTTGATTTTTTTCCAATAAGTCGTTGATATACAATAAAAAAAGATTGGAGACAATATGGATCATTAGTGAACACCAGCGTTGATGGTGAAAGTATTCGAGATGTATCCATCGCCGGCCACTTGCAGGGAACGCTCTTTTAAGAAGCTGAAGAGCCATACACAAAAATGATCCTACAAGTCATAGCATCGAAGTTTGACCAGCAAACCCTCATGCCACACACGGTCAAAAACCTGAGAAATATCAAGCGCAAAAATGGAAAAAAAGAGTTCAAAAAAAGTTCCAAACGCATTCGAAACACTGAAACGGAGTTACAGAGCTTGTGCTTGCTTATTTTACGGTTTATAAGAAACCAAAAAGTAAGGGGTTATTAATGATTTTGACATTTAAAATCATAGCATTTTCATACTATTCAATGATAAAATCTGTATCTGTATCTGTAGAGTAGGGAGGGTGAGTGTAAGCCCACGCACTTGGGCTACATGTGACCCATTGTATATCCTCCCGAGGAGTTGTCATCCTAGGTCGTCGTCCATCCTGTCCTTTCCAGGAAGGTGGACAGGTCGCTGGGAGACATCTCCTAAGTTGATAACAAAATGAGAGTAACCAAAAAATTAAATACCTTTAGGTCACACCAATTCGTAATCTACTTGGCGTAGTTGTCAGAACATCGGACTTAAATTCAAGAGGTGCTGGTTTCAATCTCGGGCATCCTTTTGTAAGTCATAGAAAAAGTATAGTGTTCTACTCGAGAGAAATGACCATTACACCTTGCCTCCGGCACGCGTAGACAAACTTCATTCTCATCAATAATGCCCAATTTCTTGCTCGTTGATAAAATGATATATTTATTTTATTTCAAATAGTACAATTCGCTTAGGCCCAAAGGTGTGGTTAGATGAGAAACTCTGCCACTGCAAGTAGCTTTCTGTAAATTAGTATTTAAAAACAGACACATTACTTTATATCACATCAGTATTTTGGAGAAACGCATATGTCATATGTAAATGGTTACTGTGAATTAAAGAATGCCATTG